CTGCTGGGTTGGCCTCAGTGCTGCTCAACAGCAGGATGAGCAGGAGCTGGATCTCCCATAAACCATTAAAACAATCGTTTTCTCTCCTCAAATTCCATCTATTTACAGAAAGAAACACCACAAAGCTCAACATTCCTGCAGGAGAGCCACGGCTGTTTGCTTCAGCAAGAGAAGATGAGATGCTTATGTAGCTTGCTTCCTTCCACACGTTGTGAAATGAGGTTCTGCCTAAGTAAAGACATGGAACAGTTATTTTTCTGTGCTTTAGTTTTTGAGGTTTTACCAGGTTTTGTTTCTCACAGCACTCCTTGCTTTTGTAGCTTGGATTTTGAGGGTAGATTTAGACTACTAAGGAAGAGAGGGGAGCATTATGAATAAATTTTTTAACTCTGAGAGCATTGAGCCCAGGTTGCCCAGAGAGGTGGTCACTGCTCCATCCCTGGAACCATTCTAGGTGAGGTTGGATGGGGCTCTGAGCACCCTGCTCTAGCTGCAGATGTCCCTGTCCCTGCAGGGGGTTGGACTCATTGATCTTTAATGGTCCCTTCCAAACCATTCTGGGATTCCATGATTTCATGAGAACCTTGAAAACGAATTCTAACATTTTTATTGCCTCTTCTGTAGTAGAAATACATTTCTTACATAAATCTCAATATATTTTATAGGCAAGGGGCCAGTTATCCTTGTAGGCTGTATGGCTCCCTGAAGCTTTTCAATAATACACAACATAAACGAGCCTTTCACATCAAATCACTCCAAATTTACACACTTGAACAGCAGACCAAGCTGTCCCACTGGCTGATTCCCCAGCCAGATGACTCCAGTGTTGCTTCTATCAAGCCACAGAAGCTCTTTGACAGAGCAAAGACCTTGAATTAAACATGGGCTGTCTCTAACTGGATCTATCTTAGCACTACACATTCTTTTCCATTGCACTGTAATTTTTTGGAGCCTGTTTTTCCAAGCTAATAAGGATTGATACATCACTTTGATGTGATTTCTTACTCTAAAGACTTTTAAGCCTGTTGGTCAAGCTCTACAAAGCTCAGTTTTTAGAGGCCTCTTGCATTCATGCAGGTTTCATGTATAAATGGCAACGGGGTAGAAGAGGAGAGGTGATGAATGCCCCTCCCAACTGAAGGAAAACCCCCAGCATTGTTTGAATTACATGCTTAGCACTAGAGATCCAAAGAGAAAAGGGCAGGAAAAGAGGTGGCCAAAGTGCATTTCAGGTAGCCTGTGGTAGGACCTCCAAAAAAAGGGCAAATCCATAGATCAGCTTTTGGTGATTCCCTAAGGAATGTCTCATTTCCCTCTCCACAGAGGGAAGCTGGAGCAGCAGATAGGAATGCTTTGGGTGAATGAAATGCCTCGTTGAGCTCCATAATTGTCAGCCTCTCCCTTTCTCCAACAATTAGGCAATATTTCCTAGAGGGTGTAACGTTTGCTGACAGTATTTGCAGTACTACAGGTTGCAACATCCTCCCACCCCACGCTGCCACCAGAGAGATTAGGCTGGGTTGGCCACGAGAGGTAATCCAGGAAGGTTGAAGGTAAGGCAAGGACAGGATCCTGCCTGGCTCTGTGTGAGCACTGGAGCTGAGCAGAGGCTCAGGGAAAGGCAGAGAAGGTTCCTGAAGGTCTCTGTGACCGCCGGGGAGGAGCCAGTGCCAGAGTGCTCACACTGGCTTGGCACAGCCACCCTGGAGGATGCTGTGCCCAGAGAGAGATTGAATCGAAGCCAAATTCCACCTTCCCTCAGCTTTTCTCACCCTCTTTAGGGTTGGGGGGTGGTGAGGGAGTTACCACATACCAAAACACAGGTTTACTACTGGATTTTCGTTCTTCCTGCCTTGCAGTTGCCATTGAGGAGCTGTCTGGGTTCCCTGAGAGGAGATCCCTCTGTGAGATCTCTCTCCTCCCAGAGCAGATTTCAGCATCTCAGGTGCTGCTGGCAGATGTGGCACAAGTTTCCTGGTCAGGTCAACAACTGGGCTGTTGTGTTGGAAGCATTGAAAGCTTGCCAGCAAATGCAAACCTTCCCAAGCTCTCTCTTCTGAGGTTAACCCTGGAGATGACCTACTCCTTGTGCATATCCACCTGAGGTCACAAAAACTCAGTTATTTTTCTCTCCTGCATCTGAAGGACAGAAAAAAAAATACATAAAGAGACCTTTCTAGCTTTGTATTTCTGACTGAGGCTCCATAAGTGCAAAGTCCTTTGTTACAGCTGGTTTTGGTAGCACACAGCATCTGTCTGAAAAAAAAAAATCAAGGCCTTATTGTCTTAGCCACTTTTTCACTGCACTCAGCTAATTCATGGTCTAATAAAAATGAAAACGTGAGGGGGGAGAGGCTCCCATAGAAACAGGGGTTTGTCATAGACATAAAATGGTTCATGGAATCATTCAACTGGCAAGAGATCCACCCAAAACCACAGAGCTGTTTCTTTTCCACGTTTCTCAGGTTCCTGGAAACACATGTAGGACCTCACAAGGTTTGGGATGAAGAGGGGAATGCAGGACTTTCTTTTTGTCTTGCCTTTCCTTTCCTTTACACCTAATCAATCCCTGGGTTATTAGCTCACCAGGAGTTCCAGATCACTGACAGAGTAAAACTAACCACAGCCTTCAATAAATCATTTTAGGGAAAGAAAGAGAAATATCTAGAAATAAAAGAAGTCCCTGTGTTTGGCAGTTATCTCACACTATCATTAGCTTATTCCCCTGTTTAAGAATAAGTTTGAATATAGGACTTTAACATTTTGTGTCAGTGTTTTGACAGTGACACCAGTGCCTTTTTTAGAGGCTCTTTTAAGGTGAGCTTGCAGGTATGCTCTTGATCACATCAGGGATGCAGTCCTGACAGAAAGGCCATGACCATTCCTCCTCAGCACTCTTTGGCTCAGCTCTTGGGTGGTCTCTACGTTGGGCTGGATTCTCTTTGGGCAGAGCTGAACCCACCAGCAATGTCTGGTAGAGAAGATCTCGTGAACACATCATGGAAAAGGTGAAGTCCCTCTCCCTGCACATCCACTGCTGCTGCAGGGACACCTCTGCAGGAGTCTCATTTTGCCCTGTTGCCAGTGTTCACAATTTGATCTAGTCCTGGCAAATTTAGCAGCCCCTGCTGCACAGGACCAGCTCCAGCAGTCAGCACTAACAAAGCCCTGAGCTGTGCAAACCCTGCCTCAGAAAGGAAAACTCCTTTCCACACCAAGTCTGTATTTTCATATCTTTATATGTTGTCCTACTGGTGATTGGGCACTGGAGGGAATGAACTCAGAGTTTCTGGTTTGCTATTGGGAGCAGTGCAAGTGGTGAGGGTGTCTCAAGCAGAAGTGAAGCTTGACCTTTAGAAGACTTGAGGGAAGCCACAGAAGAGTGAGCAAAAAGGTGCCAGCCAGCAGACACTCAGAGATCTGAGTTGTTTTTCCTGTTTTTCTCTCACTCAGTTCTCCTCTGACACTCAGCAGCCCCCCTGTAGCATTGCCATTGGAGAGCTTTATCTAAGAGCACACACATTTGTGGAAATCCTTTTGCATTTTTAACACCAGAGCCCCTTGCATGGTCACCAGCAGTAGCCAGGCAGCTGTTGCTAGGGGATCAGCCTGTGTTTATAGTGCTGGAGCCTTTCTGACCCTCCCAGACAGCCACAACACAAGCTCAATATCCATAAAGCAGAAGCAGGTTGGGTTTCTGAGCCACCTCCCCACTGGCTGTTGCAGATCCACCGTTCTTCAGTCAATGAAATCCTCCTCCAGAGCTCAAATCTGCTCCTTCACAGGAGGCTTTGTCTCTTTAGAAGCTCTGACTAGAAGTCAAGTGCAAGTTCTAGGAATAGAAGGCAGGGCAGGGAGCAGTTCAAGCTCTGCTAAAGTCTTTAAAAGCTGCTGAGCAAAGGTTAGAATTTAGCTGAGAAGCTAAACAGCTCTTTGCATCCATGTTATGGCATTTGGAGTGAATGTTCCAGGCCCTTACTGCAAACATGACTTGTCAAATCCTCAGAGCCTCCTCTCTGAGATCTCCCCAGGTCACCAAAATTGGGCAGCCTGCTGTCATCAGATAGACTTTGGTAAAAACAGGCTGAACAACTGGGAGCTGGAGAAGGTGCCATAGACAAAGAACACCAGATACATCTGGAAACAGGTTTCAGGCCCTGCTCCACCATGAGCAGCAGGCTTAGGAAGAGCACTCAGTTGCTTCCAGCCAGTTAAGAAGGCATCCCAAGACCTACACTGAGTGCTAGCAATGGGAAGGAAGGAGGAAGAGGATGGAGGTTAGATACAAAAGCACTCAGCTCCACAGCAAGCTTATCACTAGACACCACTCATAAGAAGCTGCAGAGTCTATGTACTCCCAGCTAAACAACTAACTCAAGATAAAGATTGTGGAGAAATGAAAATAAAAACCAAAGCCACAGTGATGGTGGAAAATGACATCTACAGTCAACAGAGCAAATGCTGACAAAGAAATAAAGATATCTAGAGACTTTCCCAGCTCACTCCTGGCTCTGGCAGAGTGGCTGATGATGCTCTTTGCTTTTGCAGGCTGAGCTGAGATGAGGAAGGAGAAAGGATGGAGATTAGATATAAAAGCACTCAGCTCCCCAGCAAGCTTATCACTAGACACCACCCATAAGAAGCTGCAGATGGAAAGCAGAGTCTATGTACTCCCAGCTAAACAACTAACTCAAGATAAAGATTGTGGAGAAATGAAAATAAAAACCAAAGCCACAGTGATGGTGGAAAATGACATCTACACTCAACAGAGCAAATGCTGACAAAGAAATAAAGACATCTAGAGATTTTCCCAGCTCACTCCTGGCTCTGGCAGAGTGGCTGATGATGCTCTTTGCTTTTGCAGGCTGAGCTGAGATGGTCTTTGTGCCAACCAAGAGGGAAAAACCATCCAAACCATGATGCCAGGAGGCAACCAACAACAGGCTGGGTCCTTCTCAGCTGACAGAGGTGAATCTTGTATCCTTGTTATCAGCTTGTGTGCCAAGCCCTATGCCCAGGTTCTCAACTGATGCCAGTATCAAGGGTGTTAAATCTTATAGCAGCCAAATGCTGGTCACTAATTTAGGGCATCAATTACAGACATTGATTTCATTTACACCATCTTCAGCTAAACCCTGTGACAAAAGAAAACCAACTCCCTTTGCTTCTAAAATAATTCAAGACAGAAATGATTGATATTGTCTGACAAATATCTAGTGAAATTTAGTTTGTAAATAGTTGTATAATAACATTTTAAAATAGTTTATAATAACATTTTAAGTGTTTTGTTGAAGAAAAACATGAGCTATACATTAGAAAGAAGTTCCTTTTAAAAGAAAAAAAAACACTGATTTTTTTTATGGAAAGATAATTTGGCTGAAATGCCACAAATCTTTCAATGCCATAACCAGCAGTGTTATTTTTCTGATCTATTTGTTGTTGAACTCTGTGTATTTTCAGTGAAAAACACATTCATTTGCTTCAAATGAAAACCTTTTTAACATGGAGCTAATCTTCAGGGCAATGCTTGAAAGGTCTAGGAAGATGTTTAGACCATTTAGGTTCCTTAAATGAAAATTTCAGCTGGATTTAAACTTTGGATTCTAGAGAAATCAATCAGTTACTATTCTTAAACCTTCCTCTATGTGAAAAAGGAATTTCTGTCTCTCAAGCTCTGGGTTTTTTGTGTCCTTTGGTACCAAATGGCACAGAGCAGACTGCACCTCCCTGCCACTGTGCTTGTCCCCATGGGCACTGAAAGCAGAGCTGAGATGAGATAGGAGCTGCTTATAGAGCCACTGCCAACACAATTCCCCAAGAAATTAATGAGCCAAATTCAAACTTATCTCAAGCAATGTCATTTACTGGGTGTGAAGCCAGTCTCTGTGTGGGCTCTCTGGAAGGGAATCACACGGTTTCATTTCATGCTGCTGGTTGAGCCACTCTGCCTCTCCTAAGAGCTCAAATCCTGACAAGCATCTAATCCCACCTCTGAGAAACACATGAAAAGGCCCTTGCCTGAAATCTGTGCAGCCAGGCAATGGGAATAACCCCCTGCATCCTTGTTTCTCCTTGCCTCTTTAATAATTAGCCATCTAAGGATGCAAAATGCACGAACAAACGAAGACTAAGAGGACTCATAATTAATTAATCCGTGTCAAAAGAGTCAATGAAATACTGGGAGATCCCATAACCAGACAGAAAAGACCACAAAAAGCTCCCACCCCCCTGGGTCTCTGTATGAAGATTAGAGAGGGAGAGACAAGCACGTGTCCAGGCTAAGGGAAGAAGACCTTACCAGCACCTCCATCACTGCAGGATATTTCATGTCTCCATGTCTCAGGATAAATGGGACTGCTTAAAATTGCTTAATTTCTTAGCAATCCAGGCAAGGAGGGAGATGGTAAAAGAGGCAAAAGCTCTGGCAGAAGGCATGAATGAGACATTCAATGTTAAAAATAGATCAATATTTACATTCCCATATCAAAGAGCAACAAGAAGAGCACTACAAGACACCAAGGCAGAGGAGAGAGCTCAGCCTCCCTCCTGGAAGATACCAGGAGCTGGAGGGGTGGCACCACTTTGTGGTACAACCTGTCCATAAAATTTCATCTAGGAAAGAGTTGAGCTGTGCTCCTTCTCTGCCTGGCTTCTCATTTGCCTGACGCTTATGCATAATGCATGAGCCCTGTCTTTGAGCTACTTCCAAAGAGTTTGTTCCAAAAAAATTGGGATGGAGTCACTCCTGAAGGTCTCTTCTAGAGACAGGCAGCAGATGATGTGTTTTCCTCTAGTGATGGCACAGGAGAGTGACCAAAGAGCCACTGCTCTCTGCTGGAGAGTCCTCCCCACTGCAAGTGTCCCACCAACCTCAGCTCTGCAGAACCAGCAAAGGGCAGCTGGAATTCCTGCT